TAGTGTGGCTTATTCCTAGATAAATATATCTCAGGGATGACAAGGAATTATATCCTTTCCACTCATTTGTTTACATTATAGATCCTCATTTCACTAATCGAGTGATAGTTATTATTAACGTAATTGACCTTCTATCTCATATTCTCTCGACAAATTCTTTTCGTATAGTGATATGGTATAATCCAGTCACCCAAACGTTATTCGCGTTTTTAGGAAAGCGGCTGCATTTGCTATAAGTATAAAACTTGGGCAGTATGGTAGAGCATAACTCCATTATGGATAAGATTATATTTTGATAAATCACACAGTGTTGTATAGTAATGTTAAGTGATGACGTTTCGAGCACAAACTATTGTTCATAATCATATCAAGTTGAGGATCAGAACTACTACAACACGGAGATCTGTACTAATTGTGCATTGATGATAGGGTGTACATAATTTGGCTATATAGAGATACCAGTTCCCAAATAAACATTCCTTTAGCAAGTCATTCGTCTTTAACCGTTGCAAGATGAGTAAGAAATTACCGGGATTGAGGTGGACACTAAATTTAACTCCCACTTTTTCAAAACTGGTCACTTCCATTTTCAGCGAAATTTCTTTGTTCATAAACCGATCATAACGTAGTTAAGAAGATCACAAAAAAGGCTTCCACAGTCTCGGAAACACTGCATTTCTAAGATAAGCCTGAACAATCCAATGTATCTTACTGCCATGTTTGAAGGACTGAGAATCTCATATATTTATAAATTAAACTTCTGGGGAATTGGAGATCTGTTACCATATATGAGTACCTTATACTAACTAGTACAAGGGAAGTAAAATAAAATTATGAATTGAATGATTCATTGTTAAATTCCAAGCCAGTGAAATGGTCCAAAAATATTCTTTACCGGAAGTTTATTGTGCAAATTCTGATTTCACTCAATGTATTTCTTTTTTATTATAGCTTGAAACCACACAGTATTTTTGGTACAAGTATGGAATTTTCAGCATGTGATATCGGTAGCCCAAATTTTGCAGACCGACCATTGCTACCGGGTGTGCGCCGGCAGGGTATCGAACTACGGAGCATGTGCATGGTCGGCGAGAGTCCTAACCGCTGCGCCACCGACGCACAGACCAGGGAGTACTGGACAGTTGTTTCATCCTAGTTTAAGAATCATCGGCAGTACGCATCCAATGGGATTCAAACCCAGGACCTTCCAGTTACAAGGCGAGCTCGTATACTATTCAGCCACTGGGACCCATCTAAACAAACTTTCATAACTTGGAATTATAAGACCACTTTTCTTTTACAAACTTAAATTCATTCCATTTTTACACTGATAGAAATTCTTATCGTACCTGTTGTGTTCTTCTACTAGTGCCGACCTCATCACACTTTTCTAACTTAACGGGAACACTATAATTCAGCATATCAGGGGTGTGAGAACCTGGAAATATTTTGAAAGGAAAGCTTCTCATATTTGTGATGTCACTCAGACACAGTTATGTACAAGTTTCATACTGAAATGTATTAAATATCTTTAGTTCTTAGAACTCCATACTGAAGATCAAATGGCCAGCCAGAAAGAATAAGCAACAAGCAACTCAGCCAACAAACCAACCAAGAGCCGATTGCTCAACAAATATGTGGGAGAAAGTGGAGATGGATCGGGAATACGTTGAGGAGGCCGTCGAATGACATGGCGTGCAATGCAGGCCATTGCTTGAGTGGAATCCCAGTGGGAAATGACGAGTTGGGCGTCTGAGGGTGACACGGAGATCGTGCGAAGAAGAGATAAGAGATTGTGGGCGATCGTGGTCCAAGCTGAAGAGGGTGGCAGAAGACAGGACAAAGTGGAGATGTGCTCTTGAAGCCCATTGTTCCACTCGGAACCCAAGGGAATATTAATAATGATAATATAACAGTTCTTAAAACAAATATATATTCGGGCTCGCGATTGACCTCCTGTAGGACTGTATTGGATACTTTGGCTGGACACTAGTAACTAGTGTGATGTGCCTAGCCACGAGTCCGAATATCAGAAGGGACATGAGTCCCTTCAAGGTTGCAGATACGATTTACTGATGAGTGCCAGCTAGCACGAAACCTAGGTCCAAAGCTTCCTGTCGATTACCTCCAACCATATAATATCATCAGATCAATGTGCACCGTGATGGCAAGCTACCTAGAATGGTGGCCACATTGCAAACCTGACTGATAGAATTCAGTCTGCAACAAAGAAAGAACTAGACACATCAGACTAGTTACTAGTGTCCAGTCAAAGAATCTTGGAAGTATGCTATGCATTTGCTGCACTCCGTTTCATTTAAAAACAGGAATTGAAACGAAGACAGCTACAACAATCTCGATGAAACACCTGAGAAACCTAGTTTTAATACTTCTGAAAGCCAATTAACACAGCTCAAATTTTAGTATGAAACTTTTTAAACATTGATTTCTCGGTAAAATTTCTGCAGTCCGCAACACCATCTTATCAACACTTTATCACACAATTCGCTGAAAATTCCTGTCAATTATCGGCTACAAAGTTAAAACTTTTTTTAATCGTCGAAATGTCAACATCGGGTTATAAGTAACTAAGTATTAAATCATCGGTAAATGAATTTCGACTATAACAGAGATTTCAGCAACTTTTTATTTTGCTTACACGAATTCGACTAGTGAAAAGCACTAGTTTAATTTGACATAAATGTGAGCACTCTGTGTATGCGCATATTGACACACGAAGACTGAGAGGCGGAAGTGCAAAGCTAGTGGGAACAAATGAAATGTGTAATAGAGAAAAACTTTAATTGAAATTACTTCCAAGATAGTCAACTATGGAGGTGGAATTGTCAAATTTACCAAACTTCTAATCATCCATTTAGATGCTTGAAAATCGTAGCACTTATATTACCGTGTGGCAAACTCTTCACCAGTTTAGGGAAATAGCTTCAGGATATCCCTTCTGGGAATAAGGAATTGACTGAGTGCAGTATACAGCAGAATTGAATAGGCTTTTATCACCACTGTTCCCAGCTTACAGATACATAACAATTAATTTTATGTTCGTATGGCATTTTACGATCACGTGTATACCACTATGGAACCCACTGAACTCCAAGCAACATATAGCATGAATTAACAACGCAGTATATGGGTAATTCCCATGCTGTCGATCCCCGTAATAGCATCTAACGTAAACCTAGTATCGGTATTTAAAAGCGCTCCAAACACTGCGTTTTCGTATACCTGCATTTAAGCTTGACTCAACGACTTGACAGCCGAAAATGGGCAAATAGGTAAAATGGTAACTACGAAATTTGGTGGAGTAACATTTATTTAGTGTTGTAAAACCCATTTGAAAAAACACTCACACTTCGTTACATTCTTCACAACAGGAATCCATATCACAAGTCTCTATTAACGATCAGAAACCAAACATGAATCGACTTGATTATACTCAATGCTAGACAGATAAAGTATAATCTAACCATCCAAAACTATCTTTTTCGTGAAAACTAAGTACAAGTTTCTCTGAGTGTCAGATACAGACCTGAAACAACAGAAACCAGCCTTAAACTAACGTTGGAATATTGAGAGCACAGCTGGTACAGAACTTGCTAATACCCAACGAAGCGATGGCTACTGGACGAATAGAATCGCAGCTGAACCTAAAACCAATTCAATTGAAACACATCACAACATTCTAACAAGTTAATTATTATGACTATAAAATAACACTCGTCTTATTTAAGTATTGGTTTGTAGGGATTTGATTGGTTACAGCATTTCATCATGAGCTGACATTGGTTAGAGAACCATTGGAAAACCTGGGAGTACTGGACAGCTGTTTCGTTCTAGTTTGGGACTCTCCAGCAGTACGCATCCACCGGGGTTCGAACCCAGGACCTTCTAGTTACAAGGCGAGCTCGTATACCATCCAGCCACTGGGATTCCATCCAATGGCCCATGAATTCTAACTTCTGCCAATTCACGATATAGCGCAACCGCTATCCAATGTCTTCGGCGAGTATTTGTCCTCACACCCTACTGGTCACGACTTCCCACTGGAACCCCAGGTAACTACCTACCTGAATAGGGCCAGTCGTCTTATTTCCCATCTGATTGCAATTGATCAATAACGCGCATATTATAATTTCTGAATGCATATTATCCTATATTGATTTTTATTCCAACATCTAATCGATTCCACACATGTATATAAATGAAGGAAAAAAGTTGTGTGAGTAAATTGATATGATTATGAGCAATAGTTTGTGCTCGAAACGTCATCAGTTAATATTACTGTACAACACTGTGTGATTTATCAAAATAAAATCCTATCCATAATGGAGTTAAAAACAAAAAGGTTGCAAACCATCCCCATCATAGCAAGGCGATTTCCCCTTTCCTGTCAGAGACAGTAATACACGTTTGACATTATCACTTATTAATTTATTGTTAAAGCAGTTATGAAGGTACTGAAATTCGTCGGTTAGTTATTACTCTTATATCAAGACAATAACACTATTGGACAGATCACTCGACCACTGTTCACACGCGAAAGGTTGACCGAGAAGGTCAAAGATTTATTTCTACATGCTAAAGGCAAAATCACTAGAAAAATTAGGTTTATTTCTGTTCATCCAATTCTACGATTTCCAATACCGAATCCTTATGTTCGTCGACTGAGAAGTCAATATTCCTCTGCAGAATGTATTCATATGTAAATTTTATTGCCAAAATCATTATTATGAGAAGTTAAAAAGATCCTAGTACTTAACAGACCTGTGACCAATCAAATCCCTGTGACCCAACAATTGACAAATATTAATCTACTGACCAGACTGAAAATGTAACCTTGTACAAGTGACAAGATCACTCGAAATATATTTCAAAATAGGCTGCTTTGAACTATCAATGTCAATGAAGAACTAAGAAAACTGTTTACATGTACAAAATCTGTATTAGGAAAATAGGAAATCTGGGCGTACATGTATTACATCTCATACTCCAGTAGAACCATAACCACTTGAGCCACGTTGTGTTTCCTCTAGTGATTCACACTCCACTAATTCTGGACAGAAAATACGCTCGCAAATCAACTGAGCTATACGATCGCCCTTTTTAACCTAAAATTTGACAAATAAGTCATAAGGTTATGCAAAAGTAGGTGATACGAACAACATATACATTAAGATGAGTTACATATAGATTTTAGAAATATTTAAAAGACACAAATCAAAGTGAACACTGGGTAACTTGGGCTGATTTCTTCTGTCAGTTACTCGTGGTAGCCTAACACTGATGCCCATGTAGTCCTTAATCTTTTAAAGACAAATTCCTCGTCAGATATTTAGCAAGAATCCTTTTCGTCCTCCCTAGTGTACATGTAACTACATAATATAGCAATAAAGTTTAATGCACCCCATACGCGAATAACCTTTTCCAATCATGTTTCAAACCTCAGCAACAATTTTTAGTTTCGTAGCCAGCAAGTAATGAGATGCCTATAACCAATTAGTGATTATTCTGAGGACTTAATCACCAGCGAATGAACAAGTTATTTCAATCAAAGCTTTCAATTTTAATCCACTCTGAAATCAGCTTTGTCGAGTATCCACCGACCAGTAAAGCTTTTGGAATACTTTGCAATTCATCTCTTCATCTGATGATCATTTGATGGTCCTTAAGAGACTTCTTTTATAAGTGGACAAAATGCACTATGGGAAAAGCATTGTTTTATTTATACGAGGTTAAGTAAAACTAAGTGCAAAGAAGCTGTACTTTACTCCAGTAACAGTAAAACCCAAAAAGTTTATTCAGATATTTTACAAACATGATTCCAACTTTTAGAATTGATAAAATAGTCTACACGGTTTGAGCACAGATTCGTTTTTTATGTCACTGGCTTAGTATGAATTTTCCTGAATGGGCTAAAAATATTTCTGCTAATAATGGAATGATTGCAGCTTCTATGGTCAGATTTCTTTCCTGTTAAGTCCTAATAAATATAGCTAAAAATCGAGTGAGTCCGTGGTAAATCTCTAGTGTGACTAATATAAGTAGTGTATTATCGATTAAGATTTGAATAACCTAACTGGTGAGAAATTTATTTCCCACTCTTATAATGGTTACAAAAGATTTATGATAGAAACCGTGGGAAATGACAGCACTTCAGAAACTTGAAAGACCGCAATCAATGCAAACAAATATAACGCACCAAGTTATTGTAGTGGAGACATGCTTGAAAAAAGCTCATAGTTAAATAGTTTGTAGATAAAACCATTTAAGTGCAAACTTAAAACAGGAGTAGGAACACTCAAAGCATAGAATAAACATATGTACAGCTACACTTTTAAGCTAGGAATTCATAAAAGTCAAAGGATTGCCACAACATAATCAGCTTACCACGAAGTTTTCTTCTCCAAAGTTGAAAAGTACGACGCCAACATTACCGCGGTAGTCCTGATCAATAACACCAGCACCCACATCGATTCCATTTTTCAAGGCTAAACCACTTCTCGGAGCAACGCGGCCGTAACATCCATCAGGCAATTCAATCTATTAAATAAATGACAATCAGGAGAAACAAGTGGATTATAATACACACAACTGAGGATTACGAAAAGCTCATTGAGGGAAAACTTGCGGCAATCACTTCATCCTTTCATAAATCTTCCACGTGATAACACCGAATGACATAAATAAGGAATAAGTACTACAGCGATTGCCTATGAACAAAATTGCTAATCATTTCAAAAATAGTATAAAACTAGAAAGCAATGCAACTGAAAACCTTGAACTTTGTCATGTATCAACTTTCTGCATACAATGATGGCTGAACTAACGAAACAGTGTCTGATCCTGACACCAAACGAACACTATTAGGTATCAAAATGTTGTGAATATAAGTCGAAGGGGGTAATCACGTTGTGTACGTTAAGTGACTGCATTGCACTTATAAATATTACATAGTAGAGAAAAATCCCGAGCGATTTCTCAGGCGTTACACTATTTCCGGAACTACTAAAACAATAAAGACTGGAGATTTTGCAGTTAGACAATTGTTCTGTGTAATGAACTAAACACTCAAGTGTTAAAGTTTCCATTCCATAGACTTTTCCAGCAATCTATACTAATTTTAGCATGTTTATGTTGTTTCTGCATCACTGGCTGGAATTTCACTTCAGTATGGTGTTCATGAATCCATATCTGTACGATTATCTTTTAAAAACTGAGAGAACGAAATACATACAATGACACTTGGTAAGGGTCTTAACATGGCACCTTATCCTCAACAAAATATTTAGACAAGTACCCACAGAGTTCAAGGAATGTTAGTTGATTTAAAAAGCTTTTTTGTGCTAGCAAAACTTGGACTCCAAGCGATGAAAATATCTGGGACCTCCACAAGTCTGAATATCGTTCTGTGAAACGTTGCTAGCTTCAGGGTGACACCATGTATGCAATTCGGACGTCCAATTATCGAAATGTAGATCACTAGCGTCAGCAGCCGACTCCCATTCGTCGGTTCGGTTTTCACTCTACCTAATTCAACTTATGCGATATCACGCCTAGTACACAAAGTGCTTTTGCGTAACGAAACATGAGATTCTATTGACAACCTGATGTACTGATGAAGCGTAAAGGAATGACAACATTAATTCGTTTCTGCTTACTTGTATGTCAGTTTTGACCAATCCTCTGCCTCCAACGGAAATAATAGCGTCATATGCAGCATAAAGGTCGTAACCAGCAGCAAACGCTGAACCACGAGTAGGAGTCGTTGCTTGGTCAGTTAATTTCTTGAAACGGAGTTTGACGGGGCTGGATGAGACGCCATTTTCAATTTTCGGGCGCTTATTTTCGGTCGGTAAAGATTCTGACGTGACTGACATTTTGATAGGCAGATAAGCACTAAATTTGCTAGTCCTGTCAAATGAATGTAAAGTAAATAGTTAACAAAAATCTCGATGCTGCAGGGATATAAATTAAATATTGAATTAAGTGTTGGTACCTACATGTTTTTCACACTAAGTTTATTCGACATAACTCAGCGATAGAGTGAATAACTGGATGACTTGACTAGTACAAATTATTGTTCACAATCACATCAGCGCATTTCTAACTCGCTTGTGTAACTTTCTTGTAGTTTCCTAACTATCCGGGGATGTATCACCTCGACTCCATGTGATAGTTAATTCGATAAGTAGGATTCAGTGACTGACCCCTCTACTCACCTAATTATGTCACTTTTAAAACCCTAGAGTGTCATAATGTGGAAGTAGTAAAATGTAATGTAATTAAGTGAAGACGAAGGTAAATCGCCGTCTTTGATCAATGAACCAATACCAAACACACGCAGTCGAAACGCTGCAAAACCCATCTTGGAAAGACGAGAAACTGCAATGAAAACAGGGAATGAAACAACACAGAGCAATTCAGGAAGTCATGCGAATGTACTGATGTAATTATGAACAATAAATTGTCCTCGCAAAGTCACCTAGTTATCAGCATCACCGAAATGCCCAAACTCCACTTACTATCCTTGTGTTTTGCAAAAGCGACTTGAAAACCCATCTGCAGCTTCAGGCTGGGACAACAATACTACATTACATTCATCCGTCCTACGGGAAATTATAATACCAAACCGTCCACTAAATATAGGTAACCCTAGCATCAGTATGTTAGGTGGTGGAAACACGAGCTCTACGTATAGTCACTTGCAATACAGAGACAGAAAACGAATGATGGCTAGACCAGTGGAGGATGCAGTTCTTGGGTAAACCCCTGACATTTGAGGGTTACCAGTTCACGCGAGTTCAGGTCACTTTACTCGTTTTCAGACCTAACTTGATGTAACTTGTCAGTAGAAGAAAGAGTATGCACTCTTTGTATGGTGAATTACTTTGAATTGGTCTCAAGATTGGTATCTCGGATACCTCAGATGGATGGCATCATCGAAGACCTGATTACCTACTTGCGTGCGCTGAACCGATATTATTCCAAATAAGCTGAAACCAGGCAATTATTGCAACCCAGTCCAGAAATAGGTCAATTTCATGTGCACGAAAACTGTCTAAAGAGTCATTTAGTGAAGGTGGGGAAACCTCGTACTTCTAATAGTCCAATGCGCAGTTCAGATACCATACGGTCTCCCAATAGTGTCTTTCTGAAAAAAAGACTACCCACATAATCAGGGTGCCAATAACCCGATCATCACTACCCAGAAGAGGAAAAGTATTCAAACCTTGACTCAGTTCACCACTACTTTCTTGAGATTTCCCGAAAGAAGAAAACAAATTTAAACTCACGATGTACTCACTTGAATACTTCTGGAAACCACCGATACATTAAAACAACATCTCTAGTAGATGCTTTGTCCAACATCATTGAGCCTAAATTTTGATTGTATTATGGAAGGAATTTATTTGTCTGTATGTCATTATACAGTGCTCTTCGTATAGTCGTCAGTTCCTTTTTATGATATCCAATATTTCTTTGATGAACCTTTAGAAAGATTTGCTTTTTTGATTATCGCTTCTTGGCATTTCACTACCGTTCTCATTCTTTTGGCGTACACCGGGATGGGAAACCTGTGCCCAGACTGCTTAGTTTCACCGAACCCAGTAGGAGAACGAGTGTTGATTTGTTTCGTAAGGAACTCATGTTTTGTACTAGGGTAGTAACACCTCAGAGACTTGCAGGTACCATTTCCTTCCAAGATTCCTCAAGAGAGTCAAAAAAGCCTCAGAGAAGCATTATTATGTGGGCGGTAAGAGGAAAGAGTGGTGTTAGTAAAGGAATAAAAGATGAAGCTATGGTACCTACATATAAGTCAGCTGGTCTCAAATAGTTTGTTGACACAGCTTTTGGAATTGATCTGAACTTAATCTTTGTGGCGACTTCGCGCTTTACTATTTAGATGCTTTTTAGCAGAACGACGTCCTTTTCAGAAGTTTTTGTGCATTGACCCTATGGACTTGTGTGGTGTTTAGGCTGCCAAAGGTCAACAGAAGCGGTAGATACAAACAAAGATGCGTGATCTTAAATAGACAGAAATGGCACTATGTTCTACTAACACTTGCAGCATTCGCTGTTTTCCGCCAGAAATTCTGAGTTAAATACATACTGCAACATATTCTAGTACTGTGCTGGATTTGAATAACTTCAACATCGTCGTGATCAGGTAAGCAAGTATATCTGAGGTGTGCATCACTTTTCCTGTTGTTGTGTTTGCTTTCATTAGCTCCCCGCATTTTGCTATTGTCTTGGAGCTACACTATGTGATTTTTTACAGCGACCATTCACAGAATTATCTGGGAATCATGTAGATGTGGTGTCCAACGATTTTTAGAGCTATAAGCGTAAGCTTTAGGAAGAGTTGCCATATACACTCTAATCGGAAATTTTGACTGACATAATCACACACTAATATAAACTTGCAATTCTTACTGTCTTAACTCGATAATTATTATATTAATAGCGACATTCATGTATGTATCATTTGAACCCTTGTGTTTTAGGTACTCGATAATTTTGGTGACCTCATTGGATTCGTTAGTGAAGAAAGTGGTTTCCAGTATCGGTAATTTTTCATTCTGTTTTAAATCCCTGATAACTCTATCCCCCACTCCTCAAATGGGTATTCTAGTTGACTGCAGCGAATGTTGTTAGGGAGATTAGAGTCATGTGCTATATTGACCAGCGGACTCAGAAAGGACGTTTGTCCTTCATTTGTATTGTCGTTAATATGCAGTTCATTCTTGTTCTCGTGATAAATTTGTAATTATTGCCAGTACCTATATGTTGGATGACGGTGTATGACGAAGCATACCTATGCAGTAACCAACAGTTAGAACAGTCCATTTGAATTGAAATGGGTGCCTACGTGGGGGGAAAATTTACATTTCGAAGATCGTAAAATCAGGCAAATGACAAAGTTATTAATATGGTTTACATGCGAACCTCGCCTAGATTGCTAGATCACTAGTATTCTCGCCGGTCCCAAGCCCGGATAAAGAGGGAGAGTTGGGGCGTGGTGCTAGCAACTCCACCCCCAAAAACGTAACCAAATTGCTACTAAAACTTCAACGCACAAATATATTCAAAATTCTAAAAATACAAACAATAACCTTATTTTTCGCTGGAATCGGGGAAGTGAAATGACGCAGGCTGGTGAAAGCCTTCGCGAAGCCAGTAAGCCGATGTGCCTTCTTTCGATGAAAGCAAAAATAAGGATGGGAACATGGAATATTCGTACAATGTACGAAACTTTAAAGGCTGCTCAGGTAGCCGCAGAAATGAGGAGATATAAAATAGAAGTGTTGAGAATCTGTGAGAGCAGATGGAACGGATGCGGAAGGTGCCAACTATCAACTGGAGAGACAATAATCTACTCCGGTCACCTAGAGGACGATCACGAGCACACCGAGGGAGTAGCCATCATGATGTCACCAACAGCGGCTAAAGCTCTCATGCGGTGGGAACCAATCTCCTCCAGGATAATGACAGCCAGGTTCAACTCAAAAGGAAAAAAGGTTACAATCATTCAATGCTACGCGCCTACAAACGTCTCAGAAAAAGAGAAGAAGGAGGATTTCTACAATCAACTACAAACAGTAATGGACAACGTCCCAAAGAGCGATATCAAAATCCCGATGGGCGACATGAATGCGAAACTGGGAGGAGACAACACAGGAAGAGAACTCACCATGGGTCGTGAGGCCCTCGGTGAAATGAACGAAAATGGTGAACTCTTCTCAGACTTCTGCGCCTTCAGTGATTTGGTGATTGGTGGCAGTGTGTTCAGACACAAGGATATACACAAGGCGATATGGATTTCACCAGATGGACACACCAAAAACCAGATAGACTTCATTTCAATCTCAAGGAAGTGGAGACGGAGCCTACTGGACACAAGATCGAGGAGAGGAGCAGATGTGGGTTCAGACCACTATCTAGTACAAGGGACTTTCAAGGTGAAGCTGAAGGCCTCGAGGATAGCTGGGGATGGGCCACAATGCAAGTTCAACACGCAAAAACTGAAGGACACAATCACACAGGACATTTTCACTGCAACTGTCAGAGCAAAGCAGGAAACACTACGTGGCACCACTGAGGAATCATCCGTGGAAGACCACTGGAACTCTCTGAAGGTAATTTTCAACGAAACGTGCTCAACGGTTTTAGGAAGAAAGAAGAAACAAGACAAGGAATGGCTCTCAACAGACACTTGGAAACTAATAGAGGAGAGGAGAAAGGTGAAAGAAAAAATGATTCAATGCAAAGATGGACAAGAGAAAGAGACGCTGAACTCAACTTACATAGCACTGGACAAAGAAGTGAAGAAGAGTGCCAGGAAGGACAAAAGACAATTCTACGACAACCTGGTTACTGAAGCTGAGAAGGCAGCAGGCAAAAGGGACCTGAGGACACTATATCAGATAACCAAGTCTCTATCCGGGAAGAGATCAACACAAGTGAAACCTATAAAAGACAGCCAAGGGAACCCAATTACCAAAGAAGAAAGACAGATTAAACAATGGGCGGAACACTTCAAAGGACTCTTGGACCGGCCACCACCTACAACCCGTCCAGAAATACCAACAACAGCACGTACACAACTGCAAGTTGACACCAATCCTCCAACGAAAACTGAAGTCATGAATGCAATCAAGCTTCTGAAAGCTGGAAAAGCAGCTGGACCAGATGGAATACCCCCGGAAGCACTGAAAGCGGACCCAGAAACGACAGCAGACATGCTGACTCCATTATTGCAAAAGATCTGGAAAGAGAGAAAGGTGCCTACTGACTGGAGGAAAGGTTACCTCGTGAAACTACCAAAGAAGGGCGACCTAGGACTCTGCAAGAACTGGCGAGGAATCATCCTCCTGTCGACGCCAAGTAAAATCCTGAGTCGCATCATCCTGGAGAGAATCAAGGACGCACTGGATACAGAACTCCGACCAGAACAAGCTGGACTCAGGAAAGGCAAATCATGTTCTGACCAAATTGCAAATCTGCGCATTATCATCGAACAAAGCATGGAATAGCAATCAAATCTCTACCTCAACTTTATAGACTTTGAGAAGGCCTTCGACAGCGTTGACCGCGAAGTAATTTGGAAACTCCTCGAGTACTACGGCGTACTCCAAATATTCATCAACCTTATTCAACAGCTGTACGACAACGGCACATGTCAAGTGATCCACAACGGAAAACTCAGCGAAGCGTTCGGAGTAAACACAGGAGTCAGACAAGGGTGCTTATTATCACCAATGATATTCCTAACTGTGGTGGACTGGATTATGCGTCAGACAGTGGGAAACGAGAAGACAGGGATATCCTGGACCGACGTGAAGAACCTAGAAGACCTGGATTTTGCGCGTGGATGATTTATGTTTGATGTCACACAAAATCGAAGACTTACAAGCGAAAACCGACAAACTGGTCGAAGAAGCAGCAAAGACGGGACTCCAGGTGAACATAGACAAGACGCAGGTTATGAAAATAACCAACCAACAACAACAACAGCAGCAACATCCAGCGACAATCACCATCAACGGGAGGGATTTGGAAGAGGTTACTTCATTCACTTATCTAGGGAGCATTGTCTCAACTACAGGAGGAACGGACGAAGATGTCAAATCGAGAATCGGGAAGGCGAGAAACACATTCATCAACCTGAAACCAATCTGGAAATCTTCGTCACTCAGCATCAACAACAAAATTCGGAGTTTCAATAGAAACGTCAAGTCAGTCAGTTCTTCTATACGGATCAGAAACTTGGCGGGTCACAAAGAATATTTCCAACAGCCTGTTGCAGACCTTTATCAACAACTGTCTTCGCTGTATACTGAAGATTAGATGGCCGGAAAGAATCACAAACAAGAAACTATGGGAACAAACAAAACAGGAACCAATCGCTCAACAAATATGCAGGAGAAAGTGGAGATGGATTGGACACTCGCTGAGGAGGCCACTGGGTGACATCGCGCGTCAGGCATTCGAGTGGAACCCGAAAGGGAAGCGGCGAGTGGGACGTCCAAGGGTGACATGGAGGAGATCGTGTGATGAGGAACTGAAACAGTATGCATTAACATGGATGCAAGTGAAAAGTACAGCACAAGACAGAAGCAAGTGGAGGCGTGCAGTTGAAGCCCTTTGTTCCACTAGGAACCCAAGGGAACAATAATAATAATACATGCGAACGGCTAAAGTTACATATTTAGAAGCAATAGTTACTTGTTGGTAGTTTAAGGGATGTTTTGATTGAGAGGAACAGGGGTGCGACAGCACGACTGGATGTATGTATAAGCAGCATCAACTAACTAGTATACACATATTGTGAAGTAAAATACAATCGAGCAAAGTATTTCGAAGACAAAAGT